GTATTCTGACATTTGTTCCATGAGTGATAGTGTCTTTGTCCTCTGTCTATCCTGTTTGCTTCCATAAATTCTCAAGTGATGTCTTTCTTTCCTTGAATTGATGGAATTCTTCATATGCACTTCTTCATTAATTTTGAGATAGATAAATCTGCATCTAATTTTAGTTAATATATTCATTTGTCATATTTACATGTACTTTTACATTATTTCATGCTGTTCTGGCTCTGGTATTTATTGATAAGTGATCTGTTTTTATGGCAAATTATCGGCCTTTGTAATCAGTTGCTATTTTTCCCTAAAAGGATTATTGATTTTTTGCTTATTATTTTTCTAATGTTGCCTATGATTTGGAAAGCAGAATTCTGTTACTATTTATTTTGGCTTGCTAAATGATGTTCTTGTGACTGTATATCCACGCATTTCTCTGGACACATATTTTCTACTTTATTTTATTGAATAAATTTTCTCACTTCAGATTTTATTTCAGCATCTTATTTTGCTCCATAGATTTTTATTTTTGATCACGTGAATGTTTCTCAATGATGTCAGAATTTTTATTCATGCTAATTGCATGTTCTTTATATGTGTACAGATGTGTGATTGTCTCAAACTTATTCTCCATATTGAAAGGTGATCTTTTATTTTTAAACTGGAGACCTCCATTAATAGGAAACATAGAATTTATAATGCAGAGGAACCCTACAAAAATGAAAAATGTGATAAATCCTTTAGTCACATGTCAAGTCTTAAGGCACATCGGACAATGCATGATGGAGAGACAGCCTACAAATGTGAGGAGTGTGACAAGTCCTTTAGTCAAATGGCAGATCTTAGAGTACATAAAAGAAATCATACTGGAGAGAAACCCTATAAATGAGAAGAATGTGAACAATCCTTTAAGGAACAATCAAGACGTAGAGTACATGACCAAAAACATACTGGAGAGAAACCCTACAAACATGAAAATATGACAAGTCCTTTACACAGTTGTCAAGTTTTCAATTACTTCAGCGAATACATACTGGAGAGAAATTGTCCAAATGTCAAGAATGTGACAAGTCCTTTAGTTAAATATGCCATCTTAGAGTACATTAACAAATAAATACTGGAGAGAAACCCTACAGTTACGAAAACTGTGACAATGCCCTTAGGCAAATATCAACATTAAGATTACATGAGGAAAATCATAGTGGGAAGAAACCCTACAAATGTGAAGAATGTAATAAATCCTTTATTCACATGTTAAGTCTTAGGAGACATCAGGCAATGCATATACTCTGGAGACACCCTACAAATGTATAGAATGTGACAAGTCCTTTAGTCAAATGGCAGATCTTAGAGTACATGAAAGAATCCTACTAGAGAGAAACCCTACAAATGTGAAGAATGTGACAAGTCCTTTAGTCGAATTGCATATCTTAGACTACATGAGACAATTCATACTGGAGAGATGCCCTACAACTGTGAAAAATGTGAAAAATCCTTTAAGGAAATGTCAAGACTTAGAGTATATCAGTGAAAACATACTGTAGATAAACTCTACAAATGTGAAAAATGTGACAAGTCTTTTACATGGTTGTCAAGTTTTCAATTACATCAGTGAATACATACTGGAGAGAAACCCTACAGTTGTGAAAAGTGTGACGATGCTGTTAGGCAAATATCAATATTAAGATTACATCAGGGAAATCATATTGGTGAGAAACCCTACAAATGTGAAGGATATGACGTCATTTAAGAGACTATCAAGACTTAGATTACATCAGCGAATACATACTTGAGAGAACCCCTACAAACATGAAGAATGTGACAGGGACTATACTTCTATGTCAAAATTAAAATCACATCATCAAATTCATACTGGCGAGACCCCCTACAAATGTGAAGAATGTGACAAGTCCTTACTGACATCTCAACACTTAGGAAACATTACAGAATTCATACTGGAGAAAAACCCTACAGTATGCAGTATGTGACGAGTCCTTTAATCAAAAATCCAGTCTTAGAGTACATCAACGAATACATACTGGAGAGAAACCCTACAACATGAAAAATGTGACAAGTTCTTTACTCACATGTCAACATTTAGATTATATCAGCTAATGCATATGGGATAAAATCCCTAGAAATGTGATGAATGTGGCAGGTCCTTTACTGAGGGCTCAACACTTAAGAAACATTATAGAATTCATACCATGACAGAAACCTTACTGACATCAAGAATGTGACATTTCTTTTACTGCAAGCTCAGCACATGGGGAACATCAGAGAATTCATACTGGAGAGAAACACTACAAGTGAAAAGGGTGTGAGAAGTCCTTTATTCATCTAGCAACTCTTACAGACATTAATGAATTTATAATAAAAGGAGGCATATATATATATTATGCACATATGTATGATTTGGAAATTTCTTTAATCATATGTGAAATGGTAGCAGTTATCAAATATTCCTAATGCAAAGGCAACTAATATATAGAGAATGTGGTAAACCCTTTACTCTGTTCTCAATCCTTAGAAATCAAACAATCTGTACTAAAGGGATATGTTTAAAAGTATAAGAAATGATGGCAGTGGTTTATATTTATATATTACAAAACTCCATAGTATACTGAAGAAAAACAGAATTAAATACAAAATTTTGAAATCTGTAATAAAAATTTATTTTAATTTAATTAAAAACAGTTCACAGTTGGGATAAACTAGAAACAAAAATGTGAAAACGTCTTTACTTTTCCATCCAATCTTGTGGAATATCATAGAATCCTCATTTTAGAGAAACCCTGTTGCTTAAAAAAAGTTAGCCACCATTTAGAAATGAATTCTGTCTTAGGAAGCATCAGAAACTTCAGAGTGAACAGGAGCATCCTAAAATTCCATGATCAATATCTCTTTATTTACTATCAAAGAACACACAGGGTGAATAAAACACATAAGCATCAAGGAGTTGCTACGCATTCTGTAAATAAGAAATAAATATGTGAAAATGTTCATGAATATATGCGACTTGAAAAATCCTAAAGTGTATGAAGTAGAAGTTTCTCAGTTTACATGACAAAAGGGAACAATATCCAAATATCAAATCTTTTTAACCATGGAAAATCTGTACTAAAAAGTCCAGGACTCTGTACAGTCTTGGTAATATGCTAGAGTAGCACATAAAAATGAAGATCAATTATTTCTATAATTCCATGTAATGGTATATGATATTTTGGTAGACTTGACTTTTGTTAAGAAACATTTCTTTCCCTAAAATTGGAGCTTTTTGAGGGATGGACTCTGTAAGCTAGTTTGACCCTAAGCTAAATTTGTATTTTCTGGTTTATAAAGATTATTATGATAGTTTACAGCAAATATTGACCCAGAGTTGAAGGAATATATATTGTCCATTAGCAATGCTTCATTAGTGCCAATTGTTCCATGAATAATTCATGAACAAAGGAACATTCCTCACAGTTGTATTTTCTTTTTGAGGAGTAAGAATGTATTTTTTGAATTTTTGGGGGGGGGGGCGGTCTTTTTGAGACAGGGTCTCCCTGAAGCCCAACTGGCCTGGAACTAGCTATGTAAAACAGCCAGGCCTTGATCTCATGGAAGGCCACCTGCCTCTGCATCCTGAGTGCTGGGAATAAAGGCATGCACCACCATGCCCTGCCTGTAGGAATGCATTTTAGTGTGATGTATTGTTTGGCAAATTTCTACTACAGTTAAGGAAAGGGAGAATTCTGATTATTAGAAACCAATCATTTCCAGTGGCTCAGGGAGGAGACTAATCTATCAAGTACATTAATTTCATGCTGAATATGCAGAATGGTTAGATGTTTTCAGTATTACATGATGTGATAAAAACAGTAAATATTAGAGAAAAGTTAAAATTAATCTTACAAGATTTGTGACTTTAACATTACACTATCCTGTTACATTGTAGTCTAGGTCTTTGAAAATGGCAGATAGTGATAAAGATTGAAGACATTCTGTGGCAAACCAGAGTAGTTATCAATGACTTAAAGCCC